ACTAATTGTATTTTGTTGTAATAATCAGCTTAAATAATAAAAAAATGTACACCTCATTCTCATTATGCCCATTCAATAAAATACAAATATGATTTCAAATACTTTTAATAAACTCTGAGTTTGAGAAAACTAAAAAAATGTACAACACCACAAACACAGGATCTCAGAGGAAAATCCAAGAATAGTGTTATATGCAGAATTATCATTTTCTAAAAACAAGTAATATAATTAATGTGATAAGTGTTTGAGTAATACATTTTTGTACAAATACTGTAAAGTACATAATGCATCTATCTCTCCAAAAATAACATTTTAAATAGATATTACAAAGTAAAAGTATTGGTAATCACAGGCTCTATATCAAATATTATTAATCATGTGAAAAGAACAGCCAATTTGTACATAACTACAGGATTTGTTTTTTTATTATCTGATACATCTTTATCCTGGTCCTTCATTCTGTAACTTTTTGTCTATCAGCATCAAAATGTTTAGTGACAAAGTGGTTATCAAATGTAACAGAACATTAATGTGCTAAAAACCAGCATGAAAATTACCTTTTTGGCTTTAGTGAACTGTCTATTATAAGCTGGTTAGCAACAGTAACAAAATCTTATCCTATTATAAACTAACATGAAAATTTACTACCCATCATCAGTAATATATGTATAGTGCTAAGCTGGTTATGCAGGCATTACAAAACATGTTCAAAATCAAAATGGAAGTGTACATATCACTAACATCTACAACACTGTTTACAGCCACATGTTAAGTGATATGTTTGTAATGCTCATAGTGTCTTTACAGCCTTGTATAAATACAAGTATTAGCTTCTCCTGGTTGCCTTAAACATAATACTGTGCCAATTTCATTACATCTCCTTTCATATTTTCCACCAATTTAAAATGCCATTGCTGGATTAGTGTAAGATGGACACTGAGATGGGTCCAATAGTCTTCTTCGTTCTCGAGCCATACTAATTCGAATATTTTCCTCTTGGTGGTATCGGCATAACTTGCAAGTTGACAGAACAGTTAAAAGAACCCAGCAAACCCATGAACTCCATGATCCGAACTGTAAAAACAATGTATTTTTGTCAAGACACATTTCACAAGTTTAAAAGTGGCAACAAACTGGTATATTTTGATAATTTTTTACAATCACAATAACATCTAAAACATTTTAAGATCAGGGAGTGATACTAAAAACTTTATTCAAAATTATACAATAATAAGAGAATGAAATTAAGTTTCCCAACCATAGTTAAAAGAAGCATCTGAACAGAGAATTATGAACCTTGTGCTGAATTTCACACTACACAGAAAAGTATGAACTTAGTACATACCTGAACTGTTCCCATTTGAATGTAAAAACCAAAAGTATCAATCCCATCTTTTTCATCAATCTGTAGTAGTTCAGCATCATCACATCTAACCAATTAAAACATCATAAGATTAGCAGGTATCAATTATATGTACTGAGAAGAGTCACTTTTAGGTTCTCAAGAAGTTCAAAGCTTTTGGATACATGTAGGTCAACACAACTCATCATTTCCTATTAACAGATAATTTGTTTCATTGTACACCAAAAAAAAACAAATAAGAGAGACAATGTTTATATGAATTATGCTGTTAATTATGAAGTGATGGTATATGTAATATAAATCATTGTTTATTATATATGGCTATTTTTGATTGGATCGGCATAACTTGTGAACTGATAAAACAGCTGAACCCAGAAAACCCACAAACTCCATGATCCAAACTGAGATGAAATACACACTTAACAGAAACTGCATTTTTTATCAAATGAAATTCTTAATAGCTTTTTATTTTCTACAAATGATAAGTTAGTGTTATATAACAACTTGGCAATATCCTAACAGACCAAACTCTACAGTGAGTAAAAGTATATCAATAACTTGAATGCAACGAAAACATGTAACTTACGAGGGAAACCTTTGCATGACAGTATTGCACCAGGTATGGAGACCTCCAGTTACAATGACAGAAGCTACAAAGATAAAGCCAGTCACCAGCAAGTTAATCACTGTGTCCAGAAAAGCAGACAGAAAGGAACTGAAAGAGAAGAATTTGTGTAATTTAAAAATATAAAATGGTTTACAGAGGAAATTATCATTAATCTTTCTTCACTTTTCATAATGACAACTTGTGAGAAGAAACACATCTACCAAGACAATCTACATATTACTGTTTTCATCAGCTATTATGATTTTGTAGCTTTATCATCTTGGGTTTTGACACACTTTAAAAATAATGTCATCAATTACAGAAAAATTTATAATCCTGGGTTTGTCATGTATATGTTACCTTTCACCAGTGATTAAATCCCAAATTTCATAACTACTGCTTAATTATAGTGCAGTTTGGATACAAAGCTATTCATATTGTATAGTATAATTACTCATTAGTGCTGTATGTATGTTATACTTATTAGGGTTGCATGCAAACTGACCAAGCAACAGATAAAATGTAAATACTTTTCTAGTTTCATAACATAGGCATGTTTAATTTAATATCACAGGGTTGTCCAACTTTGAGCTAGTGATGAGTTACATAGTATTTTGAGCATGGCTCAGGTTAGATACTTAGCTATGAACAAAAAAATGTATCAAGTTTATTAATATTAAAATCCACAGTAATATAGTAATAGGTAACAAATGTTAAATAACTAAGCCTCAAAGTCAAAGGATTTAAAAGTAAATAAACTCTATTTTATATTTTTGCCTGGTGGTTAAGAGTACCTCACAGGCCACCAGTAGGACAAACCAGATCTATCAAAAATATTATAATCTCAACCTTACCTGTCTACTCCCTTGAAGAGAAAAACTGAAAAGCGAACCACTTGAATTACAGACATGACCATCATCATTATTCCCACAAACAGAACAAAGCTACAATAACTTGGAGAAGCCCAGGAGGCTCGTAGGTAACCTCCATCATTGTCAAAGTAGCCAGTGGTGTAGAATAAACAATGGCCCTTGAAATTTTTTATGTTGATGCTCAAAGGAACAACCACACATAAGGAGAGCAAAAAGGTCACAGTGTAACCTGTTGCTTGGCTCAGAAGTAACTTGTTTCCTAAACCCATATCTCTTTTTCAACAATGTAGTAGCTGTTCAGAAGAAAGTAAAAAAGAGAAAATATGAGGAATAGTTTATAAGGGCATTATGGACTCAAAATATTTAGTTTCTTTTGTCATTTTTTTTACATTTTGGTAAAACCTTTCTAAGAGACAGAAATTGATTAACTTTTCTTAGTTCTACATGAACACAAAAAAAGAGTTGTAAAGGGTATCTGGAATCCAGCCTATTTAGTCCTTTTGTTGGATAGTCCATTTGGCCAGATTATTAAACTTGAAAGTGTACTGAAATAATTTGAGTAGAGTTAGAAAATATTACAATTTATTAACAATCCTCTTATTCAGTATAATTACATCTATTTTAAGTAGTCTTCTACTAAATAATTAGCCATAAACAACTTTAGTTTTTTAAAAGAGCTAAGTGTTCAAGTTCTACAACATAAGGCAATGTTTTCTTAATAAAAGAAAAAGATTAATTAGCTACATATTATACAAGCTATTCTTTAAAGATTCGACTTGCAGTTTGTTTCATCAAATAAAAATGAACAGAGATGATTAAGATATAAGTACTGTATGCCTGTTAAGTGTTGTTCAAACTCCACTGGTCACAGATTTAACTGCTGTTTTACACGGGATAAAATAGGGTCTAGTCAACTTGTTTTCTAATTGTCATGGGATGCACTTTTTGTGCTTTATACAAATTCACTATTGACTTTAATATTTTATAAATTTAGATTTTAAAGTCCCTAAAACTGTTCTTACCTTCCTAGTTATAAAGGTTAGAATGCATTGTTTTATCAATTGGGTACCATCACTGTTAGTAATAGTTGTGGTCATAAATCCAAATAGAAGTTTCTTTTTACAACAGTTTGATCATGATAGATATGAGCATTTGAAATATGTAACAATTTTTCTACTGACTACTGTGAGATCAACTGCAAACTGGTGGGATTCCAGAACATTTATCATCACACATTGTAATCTGTGGAGGGAACAAGATTCACTTTATAACCTAGCATCATTACCTCTTAGCAGGAGGTGAATATTTTTCCTTTTAATTTCCCATATATTCTTTACACTTCCAATATTTTCCTAGTTACACCACAAATATTACTTCCTTGAAAATGCCTCACATTAGAGCAGCATGTAATAAATCCATGTGTTCTGTGAAATTAGTAAAACTTTTGTTTGTTATTCAGCATGACCTAATAACTGTTGTTAGAAAAAATGTCACTGATCTTTCAACTCTGATCACTGAGGAAGTTTTACTCTTTCATATATATGGGGGGGGGGATATTTTCAGAGGTCAAAGGCCATGTCATCGTGTTTGTTGACTCGCATTCAAAATTTCATCGAACTACTATTTCATGAATTTATGTCAAAAAGTTTGGTATCAAACTGTAGATTATAATTCAAATTTTAGTATTATAAATTATTTAATTTCTTAATTTAAAAGTAAATATTAAAAAATACAGTTGAACATCGATTTTTGTGTGTCAAGTGGTATGTTGAATGCAGCGCTGGTTCAAATTAGATGTTTTTAATGTTAAAATACTAAGTCTATGTTTCATATGAATTAGGAACTAAAATTACTGATATTGACAAGCTAGAATATAAAACAAGAACCTCATATCACTCATGTACTGAATCAAACACAGTAGCACCACTCACCTCTTTCTATTTTTGGAAATGGCCCCTTATATACATTTACTTCAATATATGACATGTGAATAACCAATCGAAAATGCAGAATGTACCCCTAGTGGCTTTCTCAGCCATTTTCATGTGTTAAGACACCATCTTGTTTTTTTTACCCAGATTTCAATGAAGTAGATTAGGTCTTTTGTGTGCTCAGAATTTAATATTTTTTAGACCAAAATACAGCTTTCTTACTAAGCTTTATTAATTATAGTGGAATTCTATGGTATCGATATAGTAAATTATGATTTTTTGGTTATTCATTTGTATATATAAAACTTAAAAAAAATTATTTCACTTCATATCCTCCATGTGTGAAATTTTAAAAGGCTTATTAACCTACATCAAGCAGCAACCGAGTACAAAGGTCATAACTAGAAGAGATAATTGTATGCTTTGCTTCTTTATTTACTGTTCTATGTTTTAAGAAAAATAAGTTTAAGAACTTATTTCTACATAGTAATAATCTATATACATGTATAATGTAAAATAATTGAAGGGTGACAACAAAATACTAGTCTACTAAAACACAACCAAGACAGCTCACTTTGTAAAGACTAAAGATCAGATTTATGTTATATGATATGGTAACATGAGAGCACGTGTGCCGCATCATTGTAACTTCTGTACTGTTAACCAGGCACGGTTGCAAGATCAATATAATAAAAATAGTAGAGATATATAAATGTATAATGTTATGAGATTTAAGCTATTTAGTCTAAACATTTATGTTTTTGTGTTATAATTTGTTGTCATTCTAGAATGAAAAAGGCATAATTTATATTTATTTCCTAATTTTTTTTTAACGTGGTTACGAGATCGGTCAAATCACCCAAACCCATACAGAGATTCATTTTTGAAAATAAAAGATAAAATAGTTTTTTTTAAAGAAACATTTGATAACTATCTGGATATTATAAAGATTTCACACATGAAATTTCAAAATTTTCTGATGTATAAAAGTTTTTTAATCTTAAAGTTACTTTACATGTCAGATAGGCAACTTGGGATAAGAAAAAATGGCATGAGAAAAACATTGTCTAACAAACCATTAAAATTTTATATTTTGCGTATGAAAGCATTGTAATGTTTACTGATAAAATGCCAAATTTCGTTATATATGCTTACTAATATAAAAGTTATTGCATGAAAAGTATAACAAGCACAAAATGGTTACATGGTCAGTCCCAGAAAATAAGCCCATTCTGAAAGAGTTAAGGAAAACAAGGGACCATCTAGGCTGTCCCATCCACTAAACTAGATTATAAGGAAACTCAAAGCTAGCCCTTATCATTTAAATATTTATCAAGCCTTCCATTAATTTTACTGCCTCCACATCTGAAGGCAATCCAGTCTGTTAGAAAAATGAAACAAGACTTTAGAAAGGTTGTCAATACTTTCCTTAAAAGTAAAGGGTAAGTTAAATTTTTACTTTCCTCTAGGGTAATTGTGAAGGGACAGTCTTGTTGTTCGTATGTTAATATTGTTATATTGTTTAGTTATTGGCACAGTTTAATAATAATAATAATAGCAATTGGGAGCTATGAAATGTAGTACCTTATTACTAAACTAATAGTAATAAATTGTTTCATTGTCAGTTATTTTGAGTTAAGGCCATCATTAGGATTTCATCATATTAAATTACGTCAGAAAATTTTTCAAAATGCATATCTACGAAATAAGTAACATTGTAAACACATGAACTTTATGAAGCCTGAAGTACCAGCAATACTAATACTACTAACAGTCTATTGAACTTAAAATTTCAACAGTACAAACTTCAATACTCACTGTCCGTCCACTCAACTTTAAATTAACTTAAGTTCAAGTCAATGGAATGGTAATAATTGACCCTATGATTGAATTCAAATTAAAGCTGTATAACTTAGGACATAAGGAATATACTAGTTAGTAACTAAATTAACAATAAAATCATGAAAATATTTCAAGTGTTAAGTTATTCATACCATTATGATATCATCACGTTAGTCATCACACACGTCAAAGTACTTCTTCTAAAGCGCATATCATGAAGTCCTGATATTTTTCACGGAAAAGAACTTGATAACTATTTAAAACAAAATAAAATCAAAAGTTTTGTTATTATATTTTTTATTTTTCAATTTCTTAATAAATAAATGATAAAAACAGAAATATTGAAAAAAAAATGTTATATTATTTACTGCATAATTTTCGTCACAAACCTATGTAACACACCAGTTACTCAGTTAGTTACGCCAAGAACAAGCCAGGAGAACTGATCAAGTAATCGTTAGGGTTAAACGAAACACTGGACGCATTGTTAATGAACTCCGCAAAAGAGAATCCAGGTAATCCACGTTTACATGTGCTTTGCATTAAGTTGAACAGTTTTTATTAGTTTGTATATTGTTATCATATAACATCATCAGATGCATTTTTAAATTTATTTGTTTTACTTGTTAATACTTGAATTAGTGATAGGTGTTTCTTAGATTACATTAGTTTAGTCCAATTTTTAGGCCTAACGACACGTAACTTAATTCAATCCTACGACTTGTACCAATACCACCCTTATTAGGAGTAACACTATGGTGAGGTACGAGTTCCGCTAACACCATACTAGTTCTATTAACATCATACTCATAGTTACACAGTACCAAGATGATTCTAGGATTGAAGGGTTTATCCTGTTAATGTTATGGGGTTAGTTTGAAATTTCTTGACAATGACATGTTTTCTCTGGAGACTGGACAAGAGAGAGGATCCAAAGGGCATGATTTAGGTTTTTAAGATTTGGAATGCATCATATCAAAGAATAGCATATTATTTAATTTAAAAAAAAAATCACTTAATGTATCCAAACAATGAGACAAATCTTTGTTTTCGAGTATGTAGGTTCTAAAATTATGATAAATGTTTAATTAGAGGGGGATATGTTAGTTATGCAGTCATTATCTGTATTGAATGGAAATAAAGTACCTCGCAAAACCAAATACAGGCTATAACCTTAATGAATTCCATGTGTATTTGTGAATAATTATGCAAACAATTCTAGTGGAGCAAGGACAACACAATCTTGAAAATAATTTTCACTTGTGCTTTAAGTAGTAATATAATTATTATCAGTATAATGTCCTAAAATTGAAATGTCCATTACACATAAAGAAAACAGTATTGAAAAGTAGACAAAATGTTGGAAAGTTATGAAAATGCACTGACTTTTTGATATATTAGTAGTTGTTAATCTGATTTTTGCCAATAATTATCCTTTGAATATGCCATGAATATATATGTAAAGTTATTATTGGCATTAAATACAAAGTTTTGGAATGTGACAGCTTTGACCTTTGATAATGTGATAATCATAAAGTCAGTAACTTCAGCTAAAGGGATCAATGATCTTTGGTAAAAGTTAGATCAAAACATAAAATAATGGTCTGCTGCTGGAAGCTGTTCGTGACCTGATTCCTTCATGTGGCCTAGGGGTTAATCTCCAAGAGGGAGAATTTAGACTCTGATCAGTCATCTTCTGCCTCTCTTTTGTAGTTAGTTACACGTTTTTGTGAAGTTTTGGAGATGCAGCCAGTTGCTTTTGAGTCTAGCCCAGCTTTGTTGTCCGGTCGTTCTCAAGGAGATTACTTAGTTTTCCTCCTCCTCCTGATATTGCTGTGCTTGCAGGGAGGTTTGCAACACAGTTACGTGAGGGTATCGCTAGGCCTCCCCCCTTTCGTTTATCTGAACAACATGCCCTGGCGTATCAATGTCAGGATGATATATATTTGGACATCCAAAGATTGGCTCCGTTGTTGGATCTATTGGGTGCCAGGATACAAACCTGTTATCTCTTTTATCAGGTCAAAATTTTTCCAGATTAGTTTTAACTTTTACTACTGTTTTAAGATACTTCTCTTCCCTTCAACTTTTGTCTGAAGCATATCATCAGTTGCCTCAATAATTTGTCGACAAACTGGGCCCTTTACTGGTCACTACTACTGACACGTTTGTTCTCTGTGGGACTTGCCTTGGTGTCATCTATTGCTGGAACTTGAGTCTTGATGTATTCTTGGAAGGTATTCACTTTTGCCCTTCGAGATTTACGGGAAGTGCCTTTTCTTTGGCCTTATTTATTTGCTGGTATTCCAGAATCTTTAGAAGCTGGAGTTGATACAGTATGTTTGCAGCATTCTTTATTGTCTTTGGTTGCTCGATGCTATTCTACTTCCACTGGTACTTCTGCAGGTTTATCTCTTTGTGTTTCAAGGTCCAACTCCTTCCACTCATCATTCCATTGGTTCTCTTAATTGTTTCCGTCCTTATTCTTGGGGGAGATTTTGTGGGCCAGTATATGGACTTCTCCCGACATGTTCATATCTCGTTACCTTCACGATCTGGTAGTTTCCTCTTTGAAGGGACTTTGTCTTTCCCCTGTGGTTGTGTTGACTACCTCTACCAGATTTTAACAAGGAGGTGGGTAATGTGTTATCTGACTTACAGTTATTGTTCTTTTCTCTTCTAGGGTCCCTATTGATTTCTTTTGGGTCCCACTCAGTGGCGAGTGTTGCCCAGTTGGATATGCTTGTACTTAAATTCTGCACTAGCAACCATTATATCAGTTCCTGGTTGCAATGGGCTCTGACGAGATGAGGTGTTCCATAAGACCATCTGGATGCAATAATATTACAATATTTCTAATGGACCGCTACTCGTGGACTATCATGAGTAAAGCTAAAAGAGATTTGCCAGTCCCTGCTGATCTTAGAGCTGAGTCAGTCGAGATCAGTTTGCTTTTAAAAATTAGGGAACTTAATTCACCTTTTGCACTGTCTCTGGAGACCTATTCGTCAGGACTCTCCAATGCTTATGTCCCCCCCCCCCCCCACCACACACACACTACTACTACTACTAGTGGAGCTCAAAAGTCCTTACTACATCTTGTATTTCTTGGAAATTACCAGTTCCAAAAAAGAAATAACTGTTACTTGGAATATAACAGAGTCATTGCCATTAAAACATATAATCGTTGGAGATGTGTGGTATTTTCTTTTAATAGTTTGATGATGGCTGTTATTGCTTCTTCAATAGGTATGGATGGATGTAATGCAATTACATCAAAACTAAACAGAATGCTGTTTAACTATAAGTTTAGCTATTTATTTGCAATCTTCTTGAGAATTCTGGGTACTATGTTTATGGTTAGGTATGAGAGTCAAAAGTCCATGTAAAAGTTTTTCCATTAACAATGATAAAGCTTGTGTGGGTTATCCATATGCATAGACAGTAGGCCTTAAAGGGACATTGGTTTGTTGGACTTTAATTAAGGTTAACATAACTGGTAAATGTAACTATTTATGTAGGACTTTCTTCAAAATGACTGCTTTTTTTCGGAAATCTTAATCTTATGGGAACAAGATCAGCTTGATGGTTTTCCAATTCTTGTGAATGATAGCCATTTCAGTTCAAATAATAATAATAACTAAAAAATATTCAGTGGCAAAAAGAAGTAAAGATAAAATAGGATAAATAACACTGTGCTATTTGTTATGGCTGTAAAAAAAAATAATTTGTGACTTGAATAAAATTGATAACTACAATTCACTTGCTTATTCTGGTTCACACCATAACAGTTGCTATTCATGTAAACACAGTTAATTTAGTGCCTAGAACACTACTGTGTTGTATCCTAGCTGGTCTGAGATGTGGTACTTCCCAAAAAGCTTCTTCAGCATTGGAACTGACATGTAGTGTGGTTAACATATTCTCCTTTGCTTTCACTCATAGACTCTTAGAAATAATATTGTCATCATGCTTTAGATATCTAAAGCTTTCCATTACACTAAAGTTGAGTTTCACAGTATTCTTGAAAAC